CTTCCGCCTGCGGTCCGTTTTGCTTCCGGCCTGCTTGGCCGCTCCGCCCACACTCGGGTTTTTCCGGAGGTACTCGGCTCCTTCCAGCGCCGCTCGGCTCCCTCCGTAACCTGGTCTGGGGCGCCCCCCAAAGGTCAAGTCCATCGTCTTTCCGCCGTGCCCCGCCCCTGGCTCGTCGCGAAAGCCAATGACCTCAATCTCTGGCTGGGGCGCGCCCGCTCCCGCCTCAGGGCGTGACTGCGCGAAAGACAGGCTTCTGTTTGGATAACGAACCGGAAATTGGGAAACTGAGCCAATCAGAAGTGTCCTGAGCGGGTCGGGGTTGGGGACAGCCTCGCTTCGTGTCACGTGGACGAGTCCTGTGGGCGGGGTGAAGCACCGGCGCCTGGGCGCGGGCCAGGCCTGTGGGCGGGATGTGGTTGGCCAGTGTCCGCGGCTCAGTCTTGGAAGGCCGAGGAGAGACAACCTGGGCCCGCCCAATCTGATGAGAGCTTGTAGTCTGTGAATCTTTCTAGGATCCGACTGCCTGCATCTTTCTCCTGCGGAGTGGCTGCTGGGTTCAAATGCCTCACCCACTGCGCCACCAGGGCTCCTCAAGTTCACAGACTTGGAAGCTCCGCAGAGCACTTCTCTGCCCTGTAAGGGTCCCTGGGTGTCGGAATCGAGTCCAAGGGTTTGGGAGTCCAACCTCTCATCGTTCATCCTACGTGTATGGAAGGAACACCTACTACACGTCCCCCACCCCCAACCTGGTCAGGCCCACTCATGGCTCGCTTTCGGGCCCAATTCTTGGCGTCGGGACAGGATGGGAGCAGCGGTGTCAGAGTGTGTGGGCCCACGCTGGGATTCTGACTGGTTCTGGGCCTGGAGGCATTGAAGGAGATGGAGTGGACCAAGAAGGCAGCTTCTCCCAGCGTCAGGTAAGCTCGTAACCACCTGCAGAGGTGTGCTCCTACTGACAAGGGAAGTTCCCCTGTGAGCTGTGACCAGGGAATTAGTAGGCCCAGCGTACTGCTAGGCTCAAAAGTCTAAATCAAACCCCAAAAAGACAACAGAGGACGCTCCGGGGCTGCCTTTCTTCTCCTTGGCCCATTTGGGCAGTTTCATGTGTGTTCCAGCTCTCCTTAATGAACAGCAGCCTGGTTGTGTGTGTGACACACACACACACACACACACACACACACACACACACACACGGACGTCAGGCTGGGGTGGAATAGATGGACAGACTACTAGAGTGATGTTTGACTTGTATGGCCAGAGCAAATCAAAAATTGTTGAGCAGAAGGCCGTTGTCCATTGCTGCTGTGGAAAATCACCATCTTTCACAACGTGTTTAAATGAAACCAATTCTGGGACCTAGAGCTCATTGATGAGAAAGGAGACCAAGTTCCTTTTTTTTTTTTTTAAGTGGGTTTGGTTTCTTGTTTAATCATTTCATAGAAAAGTATGAGAGATGTACAAAAATGACTTTCTGCTTATGCTTACACTTAAAGGAGAACCAAGTTCCTTTTGGAAGGATGCTGCAACGCTTCCACAAATGTCCACAGAAAAGATTCCATCCGCCTTCCCCTTCCCCTAGAGGGACCTAACAGAATAGCTGCAAGTGGGAGGTGAGTGGCTAGGTACCTTCTGAGCTGATGTTTCTACCAGGGCACCTGAAATACCATGGCTCTTGGTTGGTTAGAGTACCCGTAGAGCCCTGGTTGTGTAGTGGATTACTAGTTAGGTTGCTAATCACAAGGTCACCATTTGGAAGTCACCAGCTGCTTCATGGGAGCAAGATGAAGCTTTCTGCCCCGTAAAGAGTTAACAGTCTCAGCAACCCAGATGGGCAGTTTTCCTCTGTCTTGCAGGCTCAGTATGCGTCAGAATCCACATAGTGGCAGCGACTTTGGTTTAGTTGTTAGAGTTTCGGCTAATGGAACTCAAATGGTAAGCAGATCTGCCCCAAGTCCTCTGGCGACTTTTCTAGGTCCTAGTGCTTGTGTGAGCTTTAATTGTGCTAAATGCCCCTTGGGGTGACTTTTAAAAGCCCATCCCAGGGGCTTTTAAAGTTAAGGATTTAAAAGGATCTGCTCATATTACTTTGGCATAAAACTGTTAAACGTGCTTCACAACTGTGCATGGATCCTTACAAGTTTGCTGAGCAATTTAAAGTCCTTGTTGAGGCTTACAAGCCAAAAGTCTCAGATTTTTGTGAACTAGTCCACATGGTAATAATGACCTAGAGAGTACCAATTGGGTAAATGGAACCCCCTTTCGTCCTCCCCCTAAAAAGAACCCCCCCCAAAAAAATCCCAAAGAGAATCTAGGTTCAGACCTAAATAAACAGCTGCTGGACTGAGAGGATCACGGGCTGACACTAAGAGATGATTTGATGCTGCTAGGAAGCTTTTCCCTAGCAATAAATTGAACAAAACATTTTCTTGCTAAAAAATAAAAGCAACAGTGAGCATGCCTCCCAAACTACATTACTTAAATGTCAACCTCTGGGAGAGTCAGCGCAGTGTTCACATCTGGCCTAAATTCTGAACTTTCAACCCGAGTATGAAAACATAGACTAGATTGGAAAATAGCTAGCCAATTTAGCGTGCAAACCTGCTCAAACTTCAGGGACATTAGATTTGGATTTTGGTGTTTCCCCCCTCCATTTGAAAAATGCACTCTAGAAAGATTATTTTTGACTGGGCCTTTAAAAGCAAAAACGCTTATAAAAATATGTTGTTGTTTTTTAACCTCTGGATGGTATTTTTAGATTTTATATTATATATATATATATACATATATATATTTCTTTTTCAAGGAGTTCCGTTTTATTTTATGGTATGTGTATGCTTATGCATTAAATTGTTTTACTATTATAAAGAATGAAATTATTCATTTTGACATGTTTTTGTTTATATACCAATCTTTGAAAGGAGTGATGGTGGAACTCACGGTGTATTAGGCTGGGTTGTCTTGAGAAACAAACCAGTGACACTCATCTACATTATGTACAATAAAGAAGTTTATATTAAGAAGCAACTTTACAGCAAGAAGGCATCCCAGCCCAGTCCAACTCAAGTCCCTAAGTCTGGTGCTAGTCCCTATGGCTCTCTTCAGACTCATGTAGCCGATGCCAGAAGGCGAAGCAGGAAGCAGGAAGATCACAGGCCAGTGGGTGCGGGGTCAAGGATCCAAGGTCTCTGGGAACATGGCAGGGCACCAGGAGCTCTCAGTGTCTGGTGGCCCACATGGGGCTACCCCTTGAGGCTGGCAGAGTTCCAGTAAGCAGGGAGGCAGGAAGGCAGGGAGGCAGAGAGAGCAGTTCCCAGACTCCCTCAGTCTCACACAAAAGGGTGCACCTCCAAACAAGTGTCATCAAGCTTCCACTTGACTGGCAGGTTTGGACTCCATACCTGGTCCAGAGTGTCTAGTTGACGTAAAATCATCCACCAACCACACACGACTGCCAGCATGATCAGCAGTTCAACCCACCAGCCGCTACAAGGGAGAAAGATGAAACTGTCTGCTCCCATAAAGACTTCCTGCCTTGGAGACTCTAGAGCAGCAGTTCTCAACCTGTGGGTCACAACCCCTTTGGGGGCCAAACAACCCTTTCACGGAGGTTGCCCAATTCATAACAGTAGCAAAATTACAGCTATGAAGTAGCAACAAAAATTATTTTAAGGTTGGGAGTTCATCACAACATGAGGAACTGTATGAAAGAGTCACAGCATTAGGAAGGTTGAGAACCACTGCTTTATAGGATCACAACAAATTGGAACAGACTGGTGACGGTGATAACCCACAAGGTTACCATCCCCTTATTTACTTTATTAAAAACTATCCAGTCCACTTTGTGGTCCACAGCACCTCACGTTTGCATAGTCCTTTCCAGTCATTTGGTAGGAATTACAAAGATTATAGCTGCAAAGAATATAGAAGGGTCATATTAAGTAATTCATAGCACTGCATTTAGTTGTGTTAGGACTTCTTCAGGGTAGCAAAGAGGTATAAAAATCATGTGAAAAGGATGTGTTGACGCTGTTAGGTGGTGAGCCCTCATTGGCCTCATTCATGCCCATGACTTCAGTTAGCGTCCACATGGTCGTGACTGAGTAACAGCATGACTGTTACACTCTGAGGTCACTGTTTTAGTTCCATTTTGTGACTGTAGCAAGGAGCCCTGGTGGTGCAGTAGGTTAGGCATTGGCCTGCTAACAGAAAGGTTGGCAGTTCAAACCTATCAGCAGCTCCAGAGGAGAAAGATGAGAGCGTGTGTGCTTCCATAAAGATTTAAAATGTTGGAAACCCTACGGAGCAGGTCGCCTGCATTCTCCAGGGTCAATATGAGTCAGAATTGATTTGATGGCAATGGGTTTGTCACAAATTACCCCAAACTTAGTCACTTAGAAAAATGTATTCCCTTACAGTTCTGAAGACCAGAGACTTAAAATCAATTATCACCAGGCTGACATTAGGGTGTTGTTGGTGCATGTAACCCACAGAGGTCTCGGAATAGCTGATACCTGCCCCTGGCAGCTTCTGGTAGCTGCTGGCAGTCCAGCCTCTGCCATGTGTTTGCACTGCCTCCTCTTCTGGGGTCCATGTAATCAATCTCTCCCTCTCTTTCACAGGACATTTAGGGTGACTTTGGGGGCTGGCCCACCTGGTTAATCCACCACTTGTCTATCAGTTGGTTGAACTGTGGTGGCTGGCATGCTGCTGTGCTGCTGGAAGTTCAGCCACCAGTATTTTAAATGCCAGCAGAGTCATCCAACGTGTACAGGTTTCAGTTAAGCTTACAGACTAAGAACAGACTATGAAGAAGGAATCGGATATCCACTGCTGAGGGCTTAGACATGGAAAAACTGAGGAATAGCACCTAAGCATTGTCCGATACTGAAAATATCATGCAAAGAAACAGAACATTGTTAGCTCAGTGTCCGAAGGCACTCAAAATATGACAGAGGGGGAGATGCCTTCTCAAAGTAGAGTTGACCATAATGACATGGATGGAGTAAAGCCTTAAAGACCTTCACTGACTGATGGGGCACAACTTGAAATGAGATGAAACATGCAAATATCAATTAATAACTGGAACTCGGAATATATGAAATATGAATCTAGGGGAATTTCCAGTTGTCAACAATGAAATGGAATACATCAAAGTCAACATTCTAGGCCAGTTAGAGAGCTGAAATGGACCTATAGTTACCTTTTTGAATCAGAAAACCATATAGTTTACTATGCCAGGAATGACAGATCCAAGAGGAATGGTGTTGGATTTATCATCAAAGAGACATTTTAAGATTGATTGTGAAATACAATGCTGACTGTGATAAGATAGTATCTATCCTCATACAAGGAAGTCCAGTCAATACAACTACTATTCAAATTTACACCAACCACTAAAGCTAGTGATGTAGAAATTGAAGAATTCCATGAATCTTTCAGTTTGAAATCGATCAAACATATGATCAGGAAGCATTGATAGTAATTAGCAATTGGAATGCAAGAGTAGAAAGCAAAGAAGGACTGGTATTGGGAAATATGGTCTTACCGATAGAAATGAAGCTGGAGGTTGCATAATAGAATTGTGCCATGCCAATGACATCTTCACTGCAAATACCTCTTTACAGTAACACAGGGCCTTCTCCAGACGGACTCCATGGAAATAAAATGGACTACATCTGTAGGAAGAACTCAATATCAATAGCTAAAATCAGGCCAGGAGTTGGCTGTGGAGCAGCCCGTCAGTTGCTCGTTTGAAAGTTCGGTGGAAGTTGAAGAAAGTGAAAGCTCGTGAAAGCCACGGTGCGATCTTGAGTTGATCCCACATGAATTTCAGGAGCACGTCAGGAGGAGAGTTTACCCTTCGGACACTGAGGACAGGAGACATGATGCGCTCTGGTTTGACATAAATAAAAGTCATACTTGAAGAACGCAAAGGGTCATTAAAAATATGAAAAATACAGAAAATATTTAAACTTTAAAAATAATAAGAAAGAAAAGATCAAAGTGGATGTCACAAAAGACGCTGAAACTTGTTCTTAATCGCAGAGTAGCTAAGGCACATGGAAGGAATGATGAAGTCAGAGAGTGGAGTAGAAAATTCCAAAGGGCAGTTTGATAAGACAAAGTAAAATATGACACTGAAATGTGTAAAACCTAGAGTTAGAAAACCAAAAGGGAACAACATGCTCAGTATATCTTTTTAAAAAAATCATTTTATTGGGGGCTCGTACAGCTCTTATCACAATCCATCCATTGTATGTCAAGCACATTTGTACATTTGTTGCCCTCATCATTCTCAAAACATTTGCTTTCTACTTGAGTCCTTGGTATCAGCTCCTCATTATTTCCCCCTCCCTCATGAACCCTCGATGATTTATAAATTATTATTATTTTGTCATATCTCACAC